GCTTAGAACCGTGACATAAATGTACAACTTAATCTCGTGACTTGAGCACTCAGTGCCCAGTAATGTATTTTGTATGGAAATTTAGAAAGACATTTTTCTTATAGAAAAACCAATATTTCGCTTGTTTATGCAAATAATTCTATGAGACTTGAAATTGGTACAAGAAACAATAGTATTTTTATTAAAAAAACTAGCTGACCCCCCATGCGTTGTCATGCGTGGAATTATGTGTTTTGAAATGAAAAGAAAGTTGAATTTACGTTGTGTTAAAAATCATTTATTTTCGATTTTTCTAAATTTTTTTCAGTGTAACGCAGTTTGATAAAAAACGTTTTATGGTTTCTATTCCGGTGCGTAATAGACAGAGAAGATGGTTTTCCAACACGGAATTGTATTTACGTAAATTTGGCCAATATTGGCATAAACATTCGTGATGAGTTCAAGTGAAGTGAATTGACAAAAGGCAGTTGCAATTGATATCAAACCACTGGAACCAAAATTTGCTTATTTCCTATTCTTATCGAATACAATGTATAATGTCTTCGACAATGTATTTTTGTTCGTATTCCATAATTGACCCGGATTTGAAGGCTGATATGTTGAAATGGTCATCGCRAAAAGTGTGCGAACTTCAGTGGCATGCAAAGTGGCTATCGAATAGTCCATCGTTTGGTTCCATTGATTATCATGTTCCAGCAATTGTAAATGCTGGCATGCTTCTCAAAAAGTTACACACACACTACCATTCACAGTACACGCAATGACTCAAATGAAATTGAACCACGTACATTTATTGAAAGCAACCGAAGGTATAAGCAATCGTCGTTTTTCGGGTGGATCATGTAAATTCGTCCTAAAAAGTTAGTTGAGAACACACCTGGATATCAATCTACTGGTTGACCTTGCTTTCTGTCTAACTATTTCTTTGASAATGCATTCCATGTCTAATATCAAGGCATATCCGAATAGAGCAATGTTCTTGCAAACGAATCACTGACGCAAGTTGAGAAAAAACTCGTTAATGTCAATTTTGTTGTTGAAAGCTGACTGGCAGCTGGCTGTACTGTATTCTCTGGGTTGAAAACTATTCTTTTGCCATTCTCCAAATGAACGGCGAGACGCACAACAGTCGGAAAGCGTTCATGAATTGCAAAAGTAAATACCCTACAAAGCGCTCTATTGCACTTCACGTATCGACATGCTATGTTGCTTTCTTTGGTGACGTATTTGCAAACGAATTTGATCGATTTCACCAAACTGCAATATTCAACATTGGCTTGAGTTTTGAATGTGAATTAGACCACAGTGGTGAATATAGTTCGATCCATATGTTGTCGACTTCGATATTCACTCTAATGCTGAATGTTCTGCCGTTGTCGTCTGATGAGCTACGACGATAGAGTGGATATCCATCATTTCCAGTTKTGGTTTGCGAAAGAAAAGCACTTGGATAGTGTTTCGTGCATTTATTGTTAGACATACAAACCGAAGTGGGATTGTGGTGTCCGCAAGTCCATGAACCATATTGGTTTTCGTCATATATAATATATATAATATAATTTCGTCACGTGTAATACTGGATCTTTTTCTGTATAAGGAATTTCCACAGAAATGATTTAATCAATTTGATCTGGTGTAACCATCATCTACCATCCAAAGAAGAATGTGTGCGTGCGGCAAACCTCYTTTTTGCAACTCAACACACTACATCCAGCATCTGACTGCACCTTATATACATACGCYGCTTCAAGATAAAGTCCATCAAACATCATAGCTGTTTTGTGATAAGTCGTGTTATGACATCGTAACGATCGCTTGCTGATTGACCGCGATCCACAATYCCACACGTATGTCATCACATCCTGGGAGTACTCGTTCATGTGCYTAGGTACGTTGATGGCAAAGAGAACTTCGACCGATATTAGCGCGACTTTTTCGTGGCTTCGTAACAAATTTCAATCTGTAATTGATCACTTCGTCTGAAACACACATAAAGTTTGCACTGAATAATTTCTCTTTTAAATAGCCGGAATAAAAAAGCAAGCTACCGAAATTGAACGATTCAAATAATTTGCAAATCAAAATATTGGAAAACAAAAGAAGAAAATTTTATGGAAAATTCCAATTTTTCTATTTTTAGTTCTAATTTATTTTCTAATTTTATAATATAACACAACCGTCTTAACTCGCTCTTCTAATTTTCATGCCGTCGGCATATGTGGAAATGGGATATGCTGCCTCTTCGAAATTTTCATAGAAATGAAAACTGCGCTGTTAAACTGCTGAAGTGACAGCTTCTAGCCTACGATATA